TCTGTCAACAGCATGTGAAAGTGCCTTGAACTAACTTTTAATTTTACTGTTCATTTGGAAGAAAACCCATGATGATTTTGTTACAACAGGGGAAAGATCATGGAACCACACATGGGCTGTAGACACGCAATATTTTCCACGAGCCTGTTTTCCAAACTGAGACGGTGCTTCTCCTGTTTTGCATGTCAATTGCCTACCCATCTGGATCACTGTTTCTTGGGATGATTAACTGGTCTGGAGAGACTTCTCACAAATGCCACATTTTCCATCCAATTGTAAAATGCTAATACTATGCTTCCATTTTCAGACCACGTTTACCTTCTTGAAAAAGCAAGGGTTCCTCTTGAAGGAATGCTATGTGCCTTCCTTTAAAAAAAAAAAATTAGAGTTTATTCTGACCAAATTTTCCTTTGGAGGAAAAAATTACTCTCTGTGAGGCTAGAACATCCCCTCTGCCACCACTCTTCACGTCTTCTGGGGGTGGGAAGAGGGGTTTTGGCCAAAACCTGTAAGACTGCCACTTCCTGTGCGACCCTGGCCTACACAGATGCCTTTAGTTTTCTCACCTTGAACATGAAGGGATTGAACCAGGCCACAGAGTGTGGGCGAGGTTTTCTCCATCTGCTTTGTTCCCTCTGCCTTGCATTTTGTAGGTGCTCAAGAAATGCTGAGTGAATGCATGGATTCATCTATACAGCCGTTTCCAGCCAAATCTCTTATCCTCATTTTTAAAAACAATCCACAGAACACTCAGTGTTTCGAACAAAACACTTTAAGTTGGAGAATCGTCAGACACCGAAGCTGAAGTTTGGAGCTGGGGGACTCTTAGCTGGGACCCTGCCCTTTGTCCCCACATTTGTTCTGGCCCAGCTGCCGTCAGGAGGCAGAGCCGGGCGCCAAGCAAGCCACACGGGCTCATTTATACGGTTCAAAACTGGACTGACCACTTCCTCCTGAAGCCCAGCTCTCCCTTTGGCTATAGAGAACAGTGAAAGTACCTATTAAAACCCAGCCAGAAGAGAGGACTCTATAATCAGAAAACCTCACAGTGCTGGGTTTGAACTTTTAGCCTGCATTTCTGCATAGGAGTTGAGCCTTTTTTTCCCCCACCGTTGAAATCCTGATTTCTCTTCTCTGCTTTATAAATATAATGGCACCAAACTGGTATACTTTCCTCTCCATCGTTTTAAGATCCCACCCAGTGCACCAAATGTGATGTGTAGTTTTTTCCTAGAAAACTTCTCTAGGAAGTTCTCTAGAAAACTTTTTTCTCTTCTCTGAAGCACAGGCACTAAGGAGATGCAGAGGTGTTCTGCTCTATAGCCGGCTGCAGGGTTGACACGCAGAATTGGAAATTGGAAGGAAAACTTAGGACATGGGATTTGTAGCTCTCTGGCCCAATTAGGACTCAAAGTCATTTAAAAAAACCAAAAAAAACACTAATTATGTAACTATGATGTAGGCAGACTTCCCAGCAAAGTATTTTTCATTCATATCCTTTGATATGAATTTTCCATTCATATCCTTTTTACACCCTTAATTGTAAGCCAGAATTTGGAAACAGGGTGGTCTAACACCGGCATAGAACCGGGATAAGCTGTGTCTGTGAGGAGGTGCCCCATGCGAGAGCCAACAACACGACAGAACCAGAGCGGGTCTTCTGGGGGGCTCTCTGGTCCCGCAGAAGACAGCTAACTGCTTGTCTCATGCTGGAGAAATCGGTTTTATCGAGAAGGGCTACACGTAGACATCTCCCTCCAAATATTAACAGCCAAGAATATTAACAGCTGAGATGTTATATGGTCCTGGGGTGCCTGGGGGCGATCAGAGTGAATTATGGTCTTTTTGCCTGGTGCGGGTCCACATCTGGAGAATGGTCAGAAGATGGTGTACCTGTCACCCAAGTAGGAGATTTTTTTTTAAATGCAAAAATCACAATATGTGTATGTAATGCCCAGTTATACAGAGGAAGTGCACATTTCAGACGAGCCTCACTTCACCAGATGAGGTCTGTGTAATGCAGTCCTTTACAACCTCTGGGGAAGTGCATGGCTAGGAGCCTTCCTGTGCAGTGCCGTCCTCTGATTACCGTGTGCTTTAGGCAGTGATTGTTGGGTGAGAAACACCTAACATCTAAGAAATAAAGAAAAATGAACCAGTCCACGTGCTAATCCCTGAAGCCGCACCTCCTTCTAATACCCAGTACTCCTGCCCCTACTTAGCTAAGTGGTTATGGGATATAGATCTGATCAAAGCCACGCACTCACAGTTCCCACAAGAAAGCAAGAGAACACACACAGGGCAAAGGAGAAAATCACTTCCTTCCAACGCCTGAACACACGCGTTATTTTCTGTGCTAAAGCACAACCTCTTGGTTTGCTTTGGTAATCTAGGGAATGAGAAGTGTTACCGATATATATATATATATTTTTTAAGATTCCTGCTATGCTTAAAGATTGAAAAGTTTTCCAGCAGCAGCTTGTGGGAACTAGAGATAGAGGAACAGTGGAAGCAAGATAACCATCTGCCTAGAGGTATTTTATTTCAGGGGCAGCTTTGAGACAAAATGCACATGAGGAGTTGTTGAAAATGGAGAGAATGGCTGAAATTATAGACTATTAGTGCTGGAAGGAGCCTTCGCAGGGATGCAATCCGGTCAGTTTTTGTTTTTGTTTTTTTGCGGTACGCGGGCCTCTCACTGCTGTGGCCTCTCCTGTCGCGGAGCGCAGGCTCAGCGGCCATGGCTCACAGGCCCAGCCGCTCCGCGGCATGTGGGATCCTCCCAGACCGGGGCACGAACCTGTGTCCCCTGCATCGGCAGACGGACCCTCAACCACTGCGCCACCAGGGAAGCCCCCCGGTCAGTTTTTAAATGAGGAAATTCAGCCGAGTAAGATTGACAGCTTACATCAGGGTTCATCCCACTATGCGCCCTCAGATCAGACCAGAGGCAGAAAGGAATGTGTTGAAAGCGTCAAGGAGAGCTGTAGGGGGAAGCCCAGGAAGACAAACCAAAGAAAGGGGTGGGAATAAGCATAAGGCTTAAGGAGGGGACTAGCCATGAAACTGATTTGTTCAAAAGCTCCCCGGCTGGTTGGACGGGGGACCCAGGTGTCCTGACCATAGGCAGGCTGTCCCTGTCTGGACAGGGAGACTGGAGGCACTGAGTAAAGCGTTGACCGGGATTCTGATCACGCTCTGCCTGCCGCCTCCCCAACCCTTATCTTCTGCGTGTTGTTAATGCATCTCTTTGCACAAACCTGGTTCCCAGCTCCTGTGTTCAACTAGCTGCGTTTACCAACTCTGTCCTCCTGGGGGCTTTGCGCTGGAGCTTGTACTGTGCAGGAGGCCCCTGCTGTCACTTACTGATGCTGGTCAATGGGGCTGAGGCACGGACATCGGCGCCTGAGGACATGGTCATCCACCTGGCTCCCTCCTGCCTGTGGAGCACCCCCATGTAAGGAGGCCCCCGTGTTGATGGGAGAGACTTGGTGCCAGCCCATTCTGTCCCCCTTTGGCTGGAGAAATCAGAGAGGGACTCAAGCAGACACAGCTGTTACCTGTTCAGAAGCAGCCCTGCGAAGGCCATGTGCCTCTGAGTGAAGTGACACAAAACTAACAGACAGTTTGCTTCCTTTGCGGCCTTTCTCCACTTGCCTCCGGCCTCTGTGTTTGTTGTGCGTCTTGCATCTTGGTCGTCCTGCTAAGGTGGGAGGGCGTCCAGAGAGGCACTATGTGCCCCACCCTTAGGCTACATGCACAGTCAACTAAATGAGGGGCGCACATCATAACTGCCTATTTCCTTGAATCTGAGACCCATATTTCTTTCACATTTTAACCTTCAGGATAATAGGATGTATTTTATAATGTATGGATACAGTTAATGTTTTGTTTTTTTTTTAATCCCCTTAAAAACTGTTATTAAAATATTGGGTATATCTTTGAGTCAGTTCTTAGAATGAAAGAAATGAGTATTATTTTCAATTGGCCCTTTCTTGTCTCTGATGTCAGTACCTTTTCTTATGTATTTTTTACCTGAACTCTTGTTTCATTGTGAACTCTCCATTTCATACATTGATATAAAGAGTAAGTCCAGTCTTCGCTCTTATCTCACCGTCTGTGACATTTCTGAAGGTCCCCATGCTCTGCGGAGGCCTGAGGCAGTGATGGAACTTTCCCCAAATCACATCAATATCCACGTGCACCTCTGGGAACTGTGGGGCCTGGGAACCACCCGCTTTCCCTTGAAATCTGTTTCTTCTTATGAAATCACATTCTCTGTCTTCTGAAATGTCTGTGGGCCTGCACTGTCCCCCAGGCCATCAGGGCATTTGTCAAAACTCAGAGAATTATACCCTAAAAAGGAGGAATTATACTGTAGCTAAATTGTACCCTCTATAAACTGACATTTTGAAAAAATCCAGCCAAGCCATACATGTTCAAGTTTGTTGGTGCTGTTGCAACATTGTTTGCAAAATATTAGAAGCAACCTAAGTGTCCATCCACGGGGGACCAGTTAAATAAATTTTGGTACTTGCATATGACGATACAGTATGGGATAGCTTTTAAAAAGAATTAGATAGACCTGAACATCATCTGATGTGGAATATCTCCAAGCCATAGTGGCAAGTGAAGAAAAGGAATACTGCAATCAGTGGGCACCGTTTGCTCTCCTTTGTGTAAATGTGTGTGTGTGTGTGTGTGTGTGTTTGGGTTGTTTGGCAGATCTCCAGAAGGATGTGTGGGAAATTGCCAGCCATGTTTCCTCTGAAGAGAGGGACTGGGCGCTAAGGAACAGGGTAGGAGGAAGACTTCATTGGCATTGTACACCTTTTTTGCATTTTGAGTTGTGTTCATTGTGCATATGTTGTCTCTTCAAGAAATAGATAAAAACAAAATAAAATAGATTGCTTTGATGGAAAGAAAAAAAAAGGCCCACGGGACCCTGGAACTGAGTGGCCTGGGCCCCCGGTCTGATGGTTTCTGTTTCTCTTTTTCAGGTCCATCATCTGAGCTGACTCACTCGCCCACCAGCAGCGGGAAGGAGCTCTTCAGCCCTGTCCCCTTCCCTTCGGGCTCCACTGAGGATGTGTCCCCCAGTGGCCCCCTGCAGCCCCCACCTCTCCCCCAGAAGAAGCTAGTGAGCCGGGCGGCCTCTTCTCCGGATGGCTTCTTCTGGACCCAAGGCTCCCCCAAGCCAAGAACAGCAGGTCCCAAGCTGAACCTCAGCCACTCGGAAACCAACGTCTGTGTCCATGACGAGTCCCACTTCAGCTACTCCTCAGGCCCCGGCAGCCGCCTCCAGCACACCTTCTCTGCTTCCGAGCCTCTGGAGAAAACATTCAAAGACAATGGCCCCTGGGGCCCAGCGCCAGGGCTGGCGGGCAGCCAGAGCCTGCAGGGCAAAGGGGTCTCCTCGGCCGCGGCCTCCCAGCTGAGCGTGTCCAGCCAGGCCTCGGCGGGCAGTGCCCAGCTGCAGCTGCACAGCCTCCTGAGCAGCATCAGCAGCAAGGAGGGCACCTACACCAAGCTGGGAGGGCTCTACGCCCAGTCCTTGGTCCGCCTCGTGGCCAGGTGTGAGGACCTCTTCATGGGCGGCCAGAAAAAGGGGCTGCACTTCAGCGAGAATAACTGGTCCCTGTTCAAGCTGGCCTGTAACAAGCCCTGCTGCGACTCGGGGGATGCCATTTATTACTGTGCCACCTGCTCCGAGGACCCCGGCAGCACCTACGCTGTGAAAGTAGGTACCAACCCCTCCTCCCATTCCACAGTGCCGCCAGCCGGTCCTGGCTGGGGGGGCAGCGCTATGGCTGGGGAAGTCATTTCCCCTCAGCCAGCTCCCGAAGGAGGGTAGTTTCCAAAAAATGCTCGGTGATCTCACTCTCTGCCTGGCCCAGGATGTGGTGCAGTGTGATTTGTACAATGAATACAAGGTTCATTCTGTGCTTTCAGGAACGAACCTACGTGATCGAGTTGGATTAAGACAGTTGCCTTTTAATGTGATGGAGAATTCATTCATTTATTCAGCAGGTTTCTATTGAATGCCTCCTATGAGCCAGGTATTTTGTAAAGATCTGAGTATATAGAGGTGAACATATGGTTCCTGTGGAGCTTATAATCTAATACGGGAGGTAGGCAATTCAGATATAGTTCTTAAAATAGAGCCGGAAGGAGAGTTAGACCCAAACATCATCTTGAACCACAACAGTAATATTATTGATAGAGCAGTCAGTATACAACTAGACTCTTGGATGGGTGTGTTAACTACACGACCTCAAATCCTCACAGGGGAGGTAGGTGTTACAGGTGGGAAATCTGAGGCTCAAAATGATTAAGTAATCTGCCCACAGCTGGCAGGTGGCTAAGATGGATTTGAAGTCTTCTTTGTCTTGTCTCAAAGCCTATGCTACCACCCTTTCAGTTAAGAAAAATGAAGTTCAGGGAAGCTAAGTGACTAGCCCAAAGTAACACAGCTGTTTAATCGTTGGCCCTGGATCAGGGCTGTTGCTAGCACGCCCCACTGCTCTTTTGGGGCACAGCTCTGAGTAAGCTGGTGGAGCTGTCTGTATCCATCTGGCCCCTCTGGTGGCCCCTTTTCTCATCTTCTTTTGGTGTCCCTTGAGTACCTGGTGGTCTGTGGTCCTTCTATAAATGCAGGCTTTTGTGAGGAGTGAGAAGGGAACCCTGAACTCTTTTCTGCCATCACCTGCCCCAAGACATTCTTTTATTTCTAATTAGAAAAAAATGCAAACGGTGAACTAACATGAAACGATCTTGGCGGGGTGGCTTCCTTCTTACCAGTAAGATTTTTTTTAATACTATGATTATTAGCCAAGGAAAATTGCAGTGAATTTTACTGTGAGATTTTTCTTTTAAAAAATTGGTGACACCACCATAAAATATAGATTGGGAACCCCTGATTTATTTGTTCAAGGGGCTCTGTATAATTACTCGCTGCCTTCTTGCAAAAAAACTAGGCAGGAAGGTAGCTATTAGGAGGATCCAGTTCATTGTCAGAAATCAAGGCCCCGAAAGACTAGATAGATTTTTGAACTTCATTGCCTCTTTATATCTGAACTCGGCAGTACTCTCTTGTTGAGCTACCCTTCCTGGTCACCCCCCCCAACCACAATTAAAAGAAAAAGAAACAACCCCAGCGTTTCCCTTCCTATTAGCAGGGTGCAGTATCCAGTAAAGGAAGAGTGAGTAGACCCTCCAGAGAGCTGGACATGGTCAGCCTGGTCATCGCTGGTGGCCCAGAGCCAGGGGCCTGTATCCATGCACTGAAAGGGATGTAAGTTTGAGCTCCTTGAAAGTCAAGGGGATGGAGGTGCCTTTAGGAAGTTCTTTGCTTCTGCCAACCTAGTGGACCTGAGAAAGGGATTTGTGAATAATGTCTCTGCTTCCACCCTGAACATTTCCTGTGTTCAAGTGCATGTGTTACTCTCCCCCGCCTACTTGGGCTGGACCTGGGCGGCTCCTTCACTGTCAAGAGACAGCTGACTTCTCCATTTTGAGGAGGAAAGAGCCTGGTGGGACAGGCTTAATCCCTCTTGCCCATGGGGTGGAAAGTGATATGGCCCAGGGGGCCACGTGGCGCAAGATCTGCCGCTGGATCAGAACCTCCGGGCAAAGGGGTTTGTTTTTTATATCCATGATGGTGACGTGCAACTTGGATTCTAGGACCTCCTGTAACAATGTAGAATTAGCCAGTTCTCCGAAGAACAGTGCAGAAAATTCAGCATTTCCAGAGGATGTTAAAAGGCAGCATCGTTCATTGCATTCGAAATCTAAACCATAAGGAAGCCAGCGATAGACCTTGGTCCTCTTAAGGAAGAGAGTCCCCGGGGTCTCCTCTTTGATTTTGCTGGAGCCTTGGCAGCTCAGGGACTATCTCCGTAATGTGTGAAAAGAAAATCTGGAGAAGAGCTTCCAGTATTCAGGGTCTGGGGAACAACAATATCAATTTGCAAATGGGCCTGGTCTGGGGGGGGAGGGGAGGGGGGAGGGGAGGGGGCGGGGCACGGAGCATCCTTCCACACTGCTGTTCCACTTCCTTAGTGCTGATCCTAGATGGAATACAGTCATCTGAATCGGCTGAATCCCCAGGAGTGGGGAGGGGGCTCCTTCCCGCACCGCCTGGCTGTGGCTGAGCTCATTTCATCCGTGCCTGGGAAGCGGGAGCTTCAGTTGCAGGCTCCCACCTGCTCGGGCTGACGCTGGTCCCTCGGTTTGTGGGCTTGACGCCCTGTAGCCACGAGGAGGTGAAGCCAGCTCATGCAGCCCAGCTCCACGAGTATGAGGAGGGGAAAAAAGCCTTAGTTGTGTGTGCTTTCGAAGCTGTTTCATGCCTCCGTCAGCCAGAACTCCGGTAATTAGGGACCTGCGCTAAGCGGGCTGGGCCTTTTTCATTTAACAGATGTGACTTAGCCCAGATTTTCAACCACGAATCAGGCCGTGGCACCAAAGTTTAAAGTGAGACTTGGCTCAGTGAAACGTTTGAAATTTGAGCTGAACCAAAGGTCTGTGTGAAGGTCTTGAGCCAGAACCCAAGCACAGACTCCCTGAAAATGAACTTGGGGGGCGGTGAGGGGAGATGGGGTGGAAAAGAAGCCGTCCCCTCCCTTCGCCCCCTCCTCTCCCCTCACCTCTAATTTGACACTGTAGAATGATCTTGGCGGTGGCCCAGGGCTGCCCCTCTGGATAACACGCGCTCTGTCTTTTGTTCGAGGCAGTGAGGAAGCTGCAGGTCTTGCCAGAGGGACCAGCTCACTGATTCTGAAATGCATCCAGGCCACTTGTCATTTACTCTCTTCTTTCATTTACACCTCTGTGCGAAGTGCCTGGAGCTCCCAAGGAGAGTGTTTGCCGGGCCCAGGCCTTTGATACCCTGGAGAAAGGGGATCCTTGGAAACACAGCCCAGGCCCCGGCAGCTGAACCCTCTGGGTTTGTACAGCCAGCCAGCTCTGGAATTGCCCAGCACCACCACATGGCTACAGCCGGACCCACAAGGGCAGTCACCATAGCAACCTCTCCCGGTGGGTGCTCACCTGGGCATTGTGTTGAAAGCCACACCTGTGCTGTGTCCTTTAATGCTCCCAGTGGCCCTGTGAAGAGGGACACTGCCCCTGAGATACAGAGGAGAAACATACTTGGAGATAAATACCATTGATCTTCAGTATTCGTGGATTCTGCGTTTGTGAATTCGATGCTGAAACTTACTTGTAACCCCACGTCAATACTTGGAGGGCTTTGGGGTTCATTCCTGAACTGGCACACAGTGGGCAGGGGTGGAAATCCGGGTCATCTGACTTGCACGTCTTCAGCTGAGGTGGTACAAAGGGACCCTCCGCCTTCTTGTTTCAGCTCTCATAACTGTACACAGGTGTGCTTTTTGTGTCTATTGAGTGCCTCATCGTCACACTTCTGTGCTTTTCGTTGGCGATTTCGCTTTAAAATGGCCACGCTGAGCGCTGAAGTCCTGTCTCGTGTTCCTAAGGTCAGGAAGGCTGTGATGCACCTTTGAGAGGGTGTTAGATCGGCTTAGTTCAGGCATGAGTTACACTGCTGTTGGCTGTGAGTCAGTGTTAGTGCATCAGCAGTATCTATGAATAAGGCGTCTTTAAACAGAAACACACTCAGTATACAACAAGGTTACATATTGATAAGTTGGTGAACATCTTGTGACCAGAGGCTTGCAAGAACTTCACATTGTATTTCCCCAGGAGCAGTGGTTCAGCATTCATGCATTCAGTGTTTGTGGCTACTTAATAGAACATAAGTACTACAAATAACAAGAATCAAGGGAAAGTTGCCAATGTTTACAGAGTTTATATTTAAACTAAGGTCCTTTTCACTCCAAAGCCCATACTTTTCACCTCCAGAACACTTCTTAGCTGTATAATCTAGGGCAAATAATTTAACCTCTTGAAGTCTCAGTTTCCTCCTCTGTAGTAGCATCTACCTCATTGAGTTGTTCAATGAGATTTAACGAGACACTACATGACAAAATGCTTGTAGGCATGGTGCAAGAGTTCAGTAGGTATATGTTGTAGTTGAGAAGCCCTCACTGGAGGGGATGACGTCAGTATCCATGGATGGCACAGCAGACGGGTCCATACACAGGGGTTGGTATTTATATGCAAGACTGTTTTTTGAGGACCCCTCCCAAATTTCCTTTAGTGTAATAGTGTTCCAGAAGATTGCCATTTAAAAATTGAATACAGGGCTTCCCCGGTGGCGCAGTGGTTAAGAACCCGCCTGCCAGTGCAGTGGACACGGGTTCGATCCCTGGCCCGGGAAGGTCCCACATGCCGCGGAGCAACTAAGCCCGTGCGCCACAACTACTGAGCCTGCGCTCTGGAGCCTGTGCTCTGCAACAAGAGAGGCCCGTGCACCGCAACGAAGAGTAGCCCCTGCTTGCCTCAACTAGAGAGAGCCCATGTGCAGCAATGGGGACCCAACACAGCCAAAAATAAAAACTGAATATAGCTGGGTGTGCTTGGATAAGAAAGAGCCTGCAGCAGTGCCTTTTAGGCATGCATTCTGAAATCACTTTTGTTAGTAATAGGAAGCACTGTCTGGGATAAAATGTACTTTCCTTTTATTTCTATTCTACTTCTCTAATAGAGGGATCAATAAATTAATGCGTTCTCTCCCCCAAGCCCTCCAATTATCTTTTAAAAAGTTTTCTCAGAAGCGGAGCTCTTTTATGCCAGGTTTTATGCTGAGCTTTGTAGAACTGCAATATAAATAAATCTCTTTGAAAAGGTACTTGCAACAGAACTTCTAAAAACGTCACCTGTAAGCATTGTGGTGCTCCATAAACACTGCTGTACTCATCTGAGTGCAGCCGTGCAGCACCCCAAAGGGTTATTTTTGGATTGTTTGCAGGATGATATTTTATAGATGGAGGCGAAATGCCTTTCTTCTCAGGATTACGCACTGATCCTTACCTTTCTACAAAGTACGGCTGGGGTTGCATCATCTCCTTCTGAGAGGGGCACCCACAGACCATATACCGACCCTTTCAGTGTAATTAGAGGGAAATTGAGGCCTGACAGGGGGCCATTGTGTCTGGCTCAAGACTCTTCAGTTGTGTGGCCACCAGATGAGGGTTCCTGTTGCTCAGGATCCTTAGTTGGCAGTCGCTGTCGTTAGTACAAGAAGATGTAGAAGAGGTGGGAAAGATACTGGGAATTCCCCAAAGGAGCTTGAGATCATCCGTCTGTTTATTCCCACCTCTGGTTCAGAGGGTGCCTTTGGGCCCTCTGGGTTCCCTATTCTCTGGAGAGCTTTCTGTTTTCTTTCAACTGCTCTGACTCACCCTTGGAGGAAAAGCTCATGGCTTCCACTTAGCGGCTCCACTGAAATCAGCCCCACAGGTTGTGCCAGCCGGTAGGCATGGCATATGTACCTGGATCTAGAAACTAGGGCAGCCTAAGAGAATTTGACCAAGTCCTAGAGGTTTAGGGCCTGCATCTGCCCCCGAGATTCCCCAAGAAGGGAACATCCCAGGGGTCGAACACATCTATTATAAGGTAGCTGCCAATTCAGGTGCGAGGGCTGGGGAGTGAGGCTGACTGCCTGTGTAAGCTCTTATCTGGCTTCCTGAGAATTTGTCCAGCCTACGCTGTGGGCATGGGGACGTCTTCCTACCAAGGGAACTCACTCTTGCTGGGTTGTGTGATAATTTTAGGTTTAACTTGTTAAGAAATTGCAAAACTGTATTCCAGAGTGGTGGTACCATTTTACATTCCACCAGCTATAAATGAGAGTTCCCATTTCTCCACATCCTCATAGACACTTGCGGTTATCATTTTATTATAGCCGTTCTGGTGGGCCTCACCTGGTCTCTCATTGTGGTTTTGACTTGCATTTCCCTTATGATTCATGATGTCGAACATCTTTTCATGTGTTTATGGCCAATTATATATTTCTTTGGTGAAATGCCTGTTGATCTTTTGCCCACTTTTTGATTGGGTAATTTATCTTATTACTGCATTGCAAGAATTTTTGGTAAATTCTGGATAGAAATCATTTTACTGGATATGTGTTTTGCAGATATTTCCTCCCACTCTATTACTTGTCTTTGCATTTTCTTAGTATCTTTTGAAGCATACACGTTTTGAGTTTCGGTAAGGTCAAGCTTGTCCATTTTTTTCTCTCATGGACCATGCTTTTGGTGTGGTATCTGAGAAGTCCTTGGCTCAGCCTAAGGTCTCAAAGATTCTGTCCTGTGTTTTCTTCCAAAGTGCGTATGTTTTGGCTCTCACATCTAAGTCTCTCCATTATGACCTAGGTCTCTGGGATCCATTTTGAGTTAAATTGTGTACACGCTGTGAGATATGGGTGGAAGTTCACCGTTTTGCATGCGGACAGCTACATGTCCCAACCCCAGCTGCTGAACCGAATGCTGGCTCTGGCCCTTTGACCTCACTGCCCCTTTCCCCCACAGATCTGCAAAACGCCTGAGCCCAAAGCAGCCTCATACTGCAGCCCTTCCGTGCCCGTGCACTTCAACATCCAGCAGGACTGCGGCCACTTTGTCGCCTCGGTGCCCTCCAGCATGCTCACCTCTCCCGATGCGCCCAAGGACCCCCTGTCTGCCCTGCCTTCACATCCCCCCGCCCAGGAGCAGGACTGCGTGGTGGTCATCACCCAAGAGGTACCCCACCAGACCGCCTCGGACTTTGTGCAAGACTCAGCCACCAGCCACCAGTCTGAGCCCGAGGTTTACGAGCGGCGCGTGTGCTTCCTGCTTCTGCAGCTCTGCAACGGGCTGGAGCACCTAAAGGAGCACGGCATCATCCACCGGGACCTGTGCCTGGAGAACCTGCTGCTGGTGCACTGCGCCCCGCAGGCCTCCCCGGACCCCTCCTCCGCCACCTCCTGGGCCCCTCCCACCACCATACCCCCTGCCCCTGCCACTACCCCTTCCTCTTGCCCCTCTGCCGCCCTCCCGGCCGGCGTCACGCCCACCCCTCCGGCTGGCCCCGCCTGTCAGGGAGGGCCCGGCGAGAAGCACTTGCCCCGACTCATCATCAGCAACTTCCTGAAGGCCAAGCAGAAGCCGGGCGGTTCCACCAACCTGCAGCAGAAAAAGAGCCAGGCCCGCCTGGCCCCAGAGATTGTGTCTGCCTCCCAGTACCGCAAGTTCGACGAGTTCCAAACGGGCATCCTCATTTACGAGCTGCTCCACCAGCCCAACCCGTTCGAGGTGCGGGCGCAGCTGCGGGAGCAGGACTACCGGCAGGAGGACCTGCCCCCACTGCCCGCGCTGTCCCTCTACTCGCCGGGCCTGCAGCGGCTTGCGCACCTGCTGCTGCAGGCCGACCCCATCAAGCGCATCCGCATCGGCGAGGCCAAGCGCGTGCTGCAGTGCCTTCTGTGGGGACCCCGGCGGGAGCTGGTGGAGCAGCCGGGCACCTCGGAGGAGGCGCTGTGCGCCACGCTCAGCAACTGGATCGACATGAAGCGGGCCCTGATGATGATGAAGTTCGCCGAGAAGGCGGTGGACCGCCGGCGCGGGGTAGAGCTGGAGGACTGGCTCTGCTGCCAGTATTTGGCGTCGGCGGAGCCCGGAGCTCTCTTACAATCGCTGAAGCTCCTGCAGCTTCTGTGAGGCAGCCCCCGTCCCGCGTGCTGCCCCCAGCCCCGCCCTGCCTTGCCTTGGAAACATCTGTGTCTCCTGGGAAATGGTACAAATGACTGTTGTACTTGGATGTTATATATATATGTGTGTGTGTGTGTGTGTGTGTGTAAGATATAAATACAAAAGACTGAGGATGTCACTGCCCACCCTGGTCTGGCCTCTTCTCCTCCCCTAGCCTCGAAGTTTTCGCCTACAATTGTGTACATTTCTAGCTTATTGCAAGGTCCTGAGGACAGTGTGGCCAGCAGAGTGAAGCCTGGACTCTGGTCTCACTACCCCATTATGGGCTCTCTTTACCCTCTTGTCAAGTGGCTATTTAAAAACAACCCAAAAAACCCTCCATTTTTAATTAAAATTTTCGGTTGACTCATGAGTAAAGAAAGCTCTTTTATCCTCAAGTGCCCAAGTGCGTTAATACCTTTGGCGGGTAAAATTGTTTTTAAGCCCCTGGAGCAGTGGCTTCAAGACCACCTGAACTGTCCTCTGTCTTACACTTCTCGTAAGATAGAGCAAAAGGCCGCAAGGGCCCCAGGCATGCGGAGACCAGTTAATCTTCCCCGCTTCTCTCCCCACCTAACAAGTCTCTTAGGAAGAATTCAGACACAGCTGGTGTGATCCCAGAATTTCAGAATTTAATCCCACTGCTTGAAATCCATTTCCAGTTTGCTAAAGCTGGTTGTCATTTGTATCAGAAGCCTGGCTCAAAGCAGAAGCCACCCCAGATGGTTCAAATGACAAGACCTTAACAGGGGACCACTTAGAGAGTTGTAGGCAGGGTTAGAGAAAAGCAAAGGACGATGAGGCAAAAGCAAGGGCAGGAATGGGGAGGATTCACTCAACCTGTTTCCCACCTGTCATCCCTAGGCCAAGACCAGTGAGATGCCAGACAGCAAGGGGACCTGGGTGATACAGTCTACAGGATTGGCCTCCCTGGGCAGGGTTGAGAAGGATGGATAGAGGGCTAGGTGGAAAACAGCCCACTGGTACTGCTGTCCTAGATAAGGACAGGGCAAGAATCGAACTCCAGTGTTCCCACTTTCAGATCGCTAGTCCCCCTGCTGTTCTAAGCTCTTTTGGGTTTCTATTTTCAAAAACTCATTCAAAATACTTTAAAAATACTCAAAGAAAATTAGGAAGCAGCAGATCTTTCCTCCTCAAAACTAGACTCACAAGAAGTCACTAAATACTCATTTGAAGAGAAACAGCCCAAGGCCCTTGTATTTCTACCTAAAGAGTAATCTTCCAACTTGTGAACTAATTTCTCAAACCTTGTTAATAACTATGGACAATTTTAAAGCAAATGCAAAGATCTTAATGAATGTCCTAGAAATCTAGGAATGTGGCTAGCAACCAGGATGGGGAAATCTCCCAGGTCACCTTCTGCATATTAATTTCACTCCTTTTACAAGCCTTCCATCCTGGGACTCCAGGTAAACACACCTACACTTGCAAACATCTGAGGTGAAACCTGGGGCTTCGGGGCACATTTGTCATTTCAACTCTCGCTTGAGCATTGAGGAAAGAAGTGGCTAAAACCAGCTTCCAACTATGTTTGTAGAAGAGAAAGAGTTTTGAACATGGAAATCACAGTTCTCCATAGGACCTGTCTGTTTCAGGGGGTATTATTTTGTCCGTTGCTTCTTCCTGGGAATTTTCCAGGCAAACCCTCTCCTTCGATTTGCTGTCTTTTGCTTTCTTGTTCTTTCTTACTTCAAATAAATAAACAATGGAGAGGGAGGAAACAAATATTCTGCCGGGGAATAAGGCGCTATTTGGAAATAAACGTCTCAAGAGGTACATTTTAAACCTCTGAATTAATTGCACCTTTTTTATATGCCACCCACTTCAGGAAAAAAAAAAAAAAACTGAGATGGTAGAAAAGGTTTTAGGAACCAAAATGAACCCAAAATTAAGGTGGAAAGAAAAGGAACTATAGCAATACATTCTAATTGAGAGGAATGATAGCGATCAAACTTACTTCTGAGCTGTCCACCAACCTAGAAAAGTGGAAAACAACCGGTTGCAGAATTCGTGTAATTTTAGGAAACTGTTCATCGGGAGGAACAAACCTTTTCCCGGTGCTTGGTTTTGAAGGGACTTTGCCAAGGATTTCCTTGTTTGAAGGCATCGCATAATGTTCCCAATAGCACATAAACAAAATAACATTTTTCTAGATAGGGCAATTTCTTCTATCCACAGTTGGTGAAATCCAAGTGTGGAGTGTTCAGGCCTCGTTTCATCAAGGTGGTTCTGCAGGGCACTGGCCACCCACTCATTCCCATTGGTGCACCTCTTCCGTGAATGGTAAGTCATGTGGCTACAAATATTAGCTTTGGCAAACCGCTTCATTCACAGAAAATTCAGGGGCTCGATGTAACTGTTTTTTTGTTACCCCAAAATACACCTGGAGGGGCTTCCCTGGTGGCGCAGTGGTTGAGAATCTGCCTGCCGATGCAGGGGACAAGGGTTCGAGCCCTGGTCTGGGAAGATCCCACATGCCGTGGAGCAACTAGGCCCATGAGCCACAACTACTGAGCCTGCACGTCTGGAGCTTGTGCTCCGCCACAAGAGAGGCTGCGACAGTGAGAGGCCCACGCACCACGATGAAGAGTGGCCCCCGCTCGCCGCAACTAGAGAAAGCCCTCGCACAGAAACGAAGACCCAACACAGCCAAAAATAAATAAATAAATTTATAAAAAAAACACCTGGGATGCATGGCTTTACCCCACAGAAGGTTCAAACACCGAATGGATTAAGTCCAGTAACAAAAGTTTCTTCCACGGACTGAGGTTCAGAAATAAGCAGGGACCTTTATATGATGACAGTCCTGTAACATCCGGCTATTTCATAGTTCTGTTATCTGTGAGTTCATCTCCTTTTTTTCTTGGCTTTAGACCCAACTACTGGTATTTAAATCTCCAGGTTTTTTTCCCTCCAACTCTGAGTCAAGTCGCCCCCATATCCTTTCCACATTGTAATTTGGGTGGTTAACGGGCCTTTCCCTTTCTCGTGCCAAGATGTGGAGTCGTTCTCTTTCCTGTAGGCGTTACGAAGCAGGCATCTAAATTATTATATCCTTGCCAGAAGCAAGATAAGCACTTCAGAGATGATTTATTTATCAAAACACATGGCTCAGATCTAAAAAGACAGGGCTCTGGGGAGCTGTAGTTATCACTGTGTGACACGTCCTGATTTTCAAAGGCTTGGGGCTGGAAAAAGCTCTTTTGTGATGCACACATGTACACAAAACAGTTATGAAGATTCTGAAGAGGGAAGACACACATCACTTTAATGACTTCTCTGAAATGTGTTCTTTAAATATACAGCCAATAAAGGAAGCAGCCCTTTCCCACTCTGATGAATGTCTATAAATCTTTGAAGATCTAAGGATAAGCTCGTTAAATCTCATTAAAATAGTAGATTTATAACGTAAAATCTGCTTGGCATATTTAATAGAGGGTGAGGTAAATGGAATTGATTATTAGAAACCAAAACTTAAACCAACTGCTGTCATTGCTAAAAATAAAAGACAAGAATAAAACATCTAGGGTAAGTTCTATGGGACAAAAGTCGACAAATTACTCTTTCCTTCTCTTTTCCAATGCTAAGTATGTGGTTAATGACAGTCAAGGAAACCTACTCCAGGCAAGAGATGTCTTTGGAGGACCTGTGCCCTGGAATGGAGGTCGTCTCAAGGAAAGGAGTCCAAATTAACCCGAACACAATATCATTGATTGAGGGGGAACCGGGGATGGGCCAGAACTTCCATGGTCAGTTTGGAACCTTACTGGATCCTGGGTATTCAGTCTTCTCTGATCTGCATGTTTCCTCCTGGGACTTGAATACATCCATCCCAACTTTCTGGAGTAGCGGAAGCAAAGTCAAGTTTACTTGGTGTTTTTCTGCATGCCAGCAAGCCAACTTGGTATTGGGCTATCCCAGTAGGACTTGAACATGTACACTTAGCACATATTCTGAATGCTGGATTCAGATCTTTCCAGATCTTTTACCAGAAGTGATTACAGCTATTTCCTACAAGAACACTGTCCTGAACACCGGATGTGGCTAGACTACCAGAACATTTATGTATGGTCTTAAGACCTAAAGGTCATTCTTCAGGCTCCTGACTTGATGCCCTGTCAGAGCTACTCAGGCATGGAGACAGGTTGAGGGAACTGAGCATGGCAACTGAACTCTTCATCTAAGGGTGGAAGAGAAGGCAGAAAATGAGAAGACAAGATTCAGAGACAAACCACCTGTTTTATCACTTGCCTGGAGCCAGCCCTGAGGACTTCCCACAACTCCCAAAAAGGTATTCTTGTGTCTTAGTCCAGTAGGGCTGCTGTAACAAAATGCCATAAAGGGTGGTTTATGACAACAGAAATTTATTTCTCATAGTTCTAGAAGCTGGTAAGTCCAAGATCAAGGTGCCAGCAGATTCAGTTCTGGTAATACCACACTCCCTAGTCCATACCACACTCCCTAGTCCTAATACCACACTCCCACACTCCCTAGTCCAGCAGATTCAGTTCTGGTAATACCACACTCCCTAGTCCATAGATGGCCATATTTTCACTGTATCATCACGTGGCAGAAAGGGCAAGGGAGTTCTCTGGGGTCTCTTTTGTAAGACCACTAATGCCATTCATGAAGGCCCCAACCTCATGATCTTATCACCACCCAAAGGCCCCACCACCTAATACCATCACATTGGGAATTGAGTTTCAATGTATGAATTCTGAGGGGAGAGGGGGGTACACAAACATTCAGTCCACAGCATCACTCTTGTCAAGACCCTCACTGGGATCATATGGACACTATTCTGTTCTCAAAGAGCTCCAGCCATGTGGAAACTATAGAACTCTAGATTGTGTAGATTTCAATTTCCAAGTTTATATCAGTTTCCTTTAAAAGTTAGAAAGACTTGGGACTTCCCTGGTGGCGCAGTGGTTAAGAATCCACCTGCCAATGCAGGGGACACGGGTTCCATCCCTGCTCTGGGAAGATCCCGCATGCCGCGCAGCAACTAAGTCCGTGTACCACAACTACTGAGCCTGCGCTCTAGAGCCTGCGAGCCACAACTACTGAGCCCACGTGCTACATCTACTGAAGCCCACGCGCTCTAGAGCCTGTGCTCCACAACAAGAGAAGCCCGCTCACCGCAATGAAGAGTAGCCCCTGCTCGCCGCAACTAGAGAAAGCCTGCACACAGCAATGAAGACCCAACACAGCCAAAAATAATAAATAAATATAAATAAATAAATTTATTTTTTAAAATTGTGCCCTTTATTTATGTCCTTTTTTTACTGACCATTCCCATCACCATGATGATGGAAACAATTTTTGGTTTTCCTAAAGGAATGACAGAGATCGCCTCTCCCCTACCCCTCAGTCTTACTGGCTTTATTTATTTTGAGAATATAAAACATAACATGGCAATAAAAGCCCAAACTATTCAAAAAATATATACTCAGAGAAGTATCACCCCCCCATCTCCTGTCGCCATGCCTCCATCGTTTCCACCCTGCTCCCACCCATCCTCACTGATTTCTTCTTTTTCCTTCCTGTGTGCCATGAACCAAATGGGCAGCGGCAAATATATTTATTTTGTCTCACACAAAAGTTAGTAGACTGGAGATACAAGAGCACTTTGCTTTTCTCTCTTAGCAGTGTGTCAACAGAAGCTTTCTTAAAGCGAGGAGGCAACTTGACCTCTCACTTGATTCAGAGAATTGACAAGGTTTCATCGCCTTCAACCCAGGTATTAAAAACATCATTTGCACAGCTTGAAGAGTATTCATCCACCAAAGTTTTAAAGATCCCTTAGTGCTATAGCTCCTCAGTTCTTAGGACAACATATTTCATTGCCATGGAGAGGTATGGACTGTTTTTCCTCCCAGATAGAAATCCTGAGGTTTGCCCCAAACCGCAGTCAGCATTGAAAGCAGACCCCTGAGTTTAATGATGAATTTTACCCTTGACCCTCACTCCTCTCTGGAGTGGCACTGCTGGTTCTTGCACTTGAAACCCAGCACTTCTCTGATAAGCTCTGCCTTGAGCCCGCACCACCAACTCGACCTGCTGACCATGGCCAGGTTGCAGAGGAAAACATTTCCACAATGATCTTCCAGAAAGAGCGTTCAAGGAGGGAAAAGACTGTGCTACTCTGCGGCTTGGCTTTTCTGTGGCTTTTCCCTGACTGTAGACAGTGCCATGGAAGCAACGAGAACTCCACTCATGGAAATTGTTTATGGAACTTAGAGTTAACTCTTCAACAAAAGGAGCCTGATGCTGTTAGTCTTGGCCGAGTTCAGCATGAGTCATGCGCTGTTTCTAGTACCTGATTGACTATGGACAGAATGAAGGGGCTTGCTGGCTGTTCTGTCCAGTGGAACAGCTCCACACGGAAACAGGGACTGGGGGAGAGAAGTGGGGGGTGAGTGTGCGGGCCACGCTTCCGGCGCAGAAGGCACACAAGGGCACAGAGCAGACAGAGCCTTCTCGGCCAGTGCCGACTCTACCCCTGCAGCTGGAGCTGGCAGCCTCCTCCCAGCTATGAATCACACATTTGACTGCAGCCCTCAGCCTGCTGACAGCCCC